TTTTGTGGCAAAATAATTATCTTTATAGGGACGTTAACTTCTCAAATTTCGTTTGCCTTTGGGGAAAAATAGAACTGAAGAAACAGATACTCCCTTGCGGAGTGCATTTCTTGGGTTTACTTGGTCTTCAGCATTTACATGTATAACATGTTTTCCTATGACACACCCTTTGGAGAGTTAAAATTTCCAAGTAGCCTAATTTGCCTTTCACTTCCTCGCTCCCCTTCACTTGTCATTCCTTGTTACATTTCCGTAGCATCTCGCCCATCTAGCTTGCTTCAGTTACTGCACACCTTTTATATGGCACAGACAACTTCTATTCAGATCTCTATTTGTCGAGAAAAATCTGTACTTAACGCAGAGAGGACAAATCGTTTTCACGAGAAACTTTTCAAATCAAATATTCATTTTCATCATTTAAATGTGTATCAAATCTCTTGTGTCTCAAACTGTCCCACTATAACCGTTATTTTCATTCACACATTGTTCCTTTTTTCCCTACTCTCTCTCTCTCTCCGTCCCAACCAATTCTAGACTTACGCATTGCATATATTGCACTTTTATTTGGAGCAGTTTTTTTCAATTCTATCCTCTTGTGGGAACAAAAATCTTGATTCTAGTCTGAAGACATTAAGTCTAGATCATTCAATAGATGAATATCCTAAACGCATACCCTCTAGTCTTCAATCTCCCCAATGCTTCCTTACATTTTCCAATTCTAAAATCAACGTATTCGTCAGAATTCCTCTTGTTACAGCACACCAGTATAGACGATCCAACAATTTGGTTTAGTGATGGGCAAGAATAACACAGGATTCAACTCCGAGGAATCTAATGCACTGTAATCTGAGCTTCCTCTTGATTCACATGTAAAGCACCGATCCCTAGGTCAAGCATTCGGAACAAGAATATCCCCGAACCTCTCTCTTTTGCTGTTCGCACGGCCCCCGCCTTGCCTTATCCCCCCCATCTTCCCCATCCCCTTTCTGCCCGCCCGCGTCGCACACACATGCCCGTGATCCTCCCCGCGTGCCCTCATGCGTGCCCCGTGCTTCGCCCATGCCTTCCACGCACGCGCGCGCGAGCGAGCGGGCGAGCGACGCTCCCTCTGCACAGCGGGGCGGGAGCGGAGCGGGGCGGGGGCGGGGGCGAAGCGCGCAGCCGCAAAGAGCGGTGCGACACGGCGCCTCCCACTGGGCCGAAATCACGTTCTAGCGACGCCGAAACACTGGGATGACAGCATTATTTTGTGACTCCTGACGGGTAACTCGCTGTGGTTCCGCAAGTGTAGTGCATGTTATACTGTGCGAAATGAAGAGGTTCTTCACCAACTGGAACTTGAGATCCGGCCCAAACGTCATCTTGTGGGATATTTCCTCTTTCAGGTATTTCCCCCCAGCGGGGCACTATCTCATCTGGGGCAAGCTCTTACCTCCGGACAGACCTCCCAACATGTAGGGTAGTGTATTGCATGTAAGTGGGGGTGTATGAGAAGAGAGAACGACGAAGATTATTGCGGATTGTCTGTGGCCTGTTTGTAAAGGTACCTTCTACTCCGGCATTCGCCTTATGCAGATCGGAGTCACTACGAGCGGCCGTTCAGGAGAGCTGCCAGCCGCTGGAATTCTATGTCGTATTCGATGTCGAATGTCTTATTCGATCTAGCAATTTAGCTAGTGTCTAAAACCCTCCACATTTGGGACTCGGGTCCTAGAATACCTCTGTCAGTGTTGCAACTGTAACCCTGAGCCATCACAGTCGGCGTAAAACGATGGGTAAAATAATTCATCGTTAATGGTTTTGTAGAAAATATGGGCAGTATTTGGTAAAGTTGATAGACTGCTTGTCTTCCACCGCTAGGGCAAGAGTTCAAATCTTGACTGGTCCAATTGGAATTTTTGGTGGACAAAATTGGCTCGCGTGTTTCTTCGACGTCCTTGCGTGTTTCTTGGCTCCCAAGTTCGTTAACCTCTCCTCCTGCATGTTGACTACTCTCCTCCTCCTCCTCCTCATCATCATCATCATCATTAACATGTACTACGTCTCAACACAAACGCATTAACGGAGGACTTCCGAGGACTTCCATAGTATCATTTCTGATTTCGGTATTGTCGTCTGGGATTCCAAACGCGTCGTCTGCTATGGTAATTAGTTCTGTTAGTGTAGTACATGTTACATCACTGGAGCTGGCAGTGTTCCTCCCCCGCTGGAATGTGAGATCTGGCGTCTACGTGCTGGGTTTTTAAACTCGAAGTTCAGGTGAAAGATCTGTAGTTATGTTATTCACATATTACAACCTCACAACACCTCACATATACATATGAATATATTAATTTAGATGTATTTTTACGAAGTGTACGGCTTCCCCAATGAAATATCTGTAAACAATGATGGCCGCTGGTTAATATGTTCCTGAACATACGAGATGGGTCTGCACATTCTAGTATCTTTAGTGAATAGGCTACCCTCCTCATACTGCCAGTGCATATTCTAGTGTCTAGTGAATAGGTAAAGAGCAAGCAAGTTAAGAATTTCATATTAACTTTTTAGTTTGAAAAAAATGAATGTATAACTCGCAATGTAAACACCAAATCAAACCAAGAACGTGGAAGGAAAAAGGGAAGCAAACGGTGTTACAAATGTAACTGTGTTATTACTTTGTCTTACTGAAAATTGTGTCTAAAATACTTTTCAAACATAATTTTTACTATTTGAATTCATAAAATAGGTTGTTGGAACCTTTACTCAAAGATACTAGATTCTCCCAGAAATATCAAAATCTCTGATCCCCAACTTTCGCAGACTTGCGTAGACTTTTATGATCAGATGAGGTAATGTGACGGCAAATTACAGAACACTAGGCACAAGGACTTTTACTATATTTAAGTGATGTCTGCTATGAAAGTGTAATTTAAGTTTTATCAGCGTGTTTTCTTCCTTGTTTGCAACAAACGAAGAACGAGTATTTTTACGCTAATAGTTTACACTAAAAAATATTGAAAATTACCGTTTTCGAGTTATCCCACTCTGAATAATTCTACACCAAAAAATTACAGAATATTGGATACAAAGGCTTTTACTGTCAAGGATGTTTAATGTGCCTGTTGCTTTTTTTATCAACACAATTCGTGTGTCAGGAGATGTATCTGGGAAGAAACTCAAGGAGATTCGGGGAAAAGGATTGAGGGAAAAGGATTCGGCTGTGGGTGTAATATTACGCAAGACCGATTCACCTTGAAGTAATTGGAATTCATTTGTAGTTATGGAGACAAAAGATGTTCATAAAAACACTTCAGGCATTGTTTCGATGAATGCATGTGCAATTCTAGGCACACATGTTGGTGTACGTCAACATGTGGCAGATGTGCTGTGCAAACGCTCTGCATTCAGTCTTGGAAGAGTTCATCTCGTCTGCACTAATGAATAATCAATAGGGCATGAGCACCTACTCATTCTACCTACAAAACTTCCTCAGTTTTACCTTACCAGTTACTTCCTCAGTTTTACAAAATATAAAAATATAAAATTAATTTAATCAAATACGAAATTTCTCATGAATATTGCATTCATTTTTTTATTATTTCATTACAATTCGAATTTTAAATGCAAAATAGAAACTTTCCGATTATTGTAAGAGTATGAGAAATAAATTAAATGCTTATTAAAGTATATCTTCCAAAATACCTTACAGAAATTAGGTGACACAAATATAACAGTGAAGTGTTTTGCAAATATTATTTTTTACCACTAACAATCTCAGTTAAATAGAATTCCTCAAAAATGTGTATCTTGCCGCAGACTATGGTAGTGTGAAAGAAAGTGAGGTCATAAGTTTCAAGTGCATTTGGAATGAATTGTTTGGTTTTAACGTAATATATGCGACATCCTCTAATGCGAAACTTGGGAAAAACGTCATTGCTTGGTAGCAGTCGCGTAACAAAGATGGGAAGCTGCACTAAGCACCCTTACTTTACGACTGGCGAAAAAAAGAACTCAGGCATAGTCTTCATATAACGCTGTACTAACGTTCGGGAAGCTTTCCGTGTCACATTCATTTTCATGTTTAGTAATTTAGCGGTAGTCTCAAAGGATTTTTGGGGACGGTAGACGTGCAGATGGCTCCGTCTGCCCGAGCTTTAGCTAAGCCATTTCCTCGAGGAAAAGGTCATATTTGAAAATGCTGCCACAAGGTGGCACTGTATGATATTACGTTACTGCACCGCAAGTAATGATTTTGGGCATTGTTTTCAACAAACGTGTTTGATTCGAACGCCTCAACCTTTTGATAAAAGGTCGACGTAATAAAACCTAACATTTTCTTGTAGTAATTACCTACATTACAGTTAAACGAAAAAAAAATAGAATCTGTTGTCGACAGGTCAACACGGCAGTTTCATTTAAAAGACTAAATAAATGCACAAATCTTTATGAATAAATACACAAATATAATATTGTAATAGTGTTGTAATAATGTTGTAAAGAAACCGGAGAAATTATTTTCGTCTTCACGGTTTCTAAAACGCCTCCAAACATCTAAGTACCATCACGTTTTCTGGACAAGTTGCTGCCTTTGTGACGGTGTAATGAAAACGGAATTTTACAGACAATTTTGCTTTCGTCGGAACGCATTAAAATGAAGACATCACGACGCAAAACTGCCTACAAACACATTTCTACCAGGACAAAGTCACGTACGGCAACGTCATCACAAAGAAGACACCTGCGCGCGAAACGGTCCAGCCAGCGCGCCGCACTCGGCCACTGCGCGGCGGAGGCGGCGCGTCAATAAGAGGCGGCGTCGGGGGCAGCGTGGGCGGCGGCGGGGGCGGAAGGACGCCGCGGGGCGGGGCGAGGCGGGGCGAGGCAGTGCGGGCGCAGCAGCGAGGACTAGCCGGGTGCGTCCCTCTCTTCTCGCTCGGGCCAGCGCGCCCGCGACTGCCTCAACCGTCGTCCGCGACTGGTGGAGGAAGGAGGACGCAGACGAGACGAAGAAGGACGCGATGCCACCGCTGCGACGCTGTCACCGCCCGCCCCCGCCGCCGTCGTCGTCGACGCCGGGCGCGCCAGTCGGGGCGCCGCCGCCCCCACCGCCCCGCAGTGCCACCGCCGCCGCCGCCGCCGCCAGCGTGGGCCGCCTGTGCGTGAGGCGTCGCAGCCGCTGCCTGCTCCACCTGTGCTGACGGCAGCGACTGATCGCGGTGCTGTGCCCGCTGCGCGCCACAGGTAACAGTCGGAACACGCGTGCGCGATGCCGGATATGTGCGGTGTGCGCCCACGCGCCGGCTGGCTGGCTGGCGCTGCGTCTTGGCCTCGGTGAAGGTACACCTGGGCGGAAAGTCATGTGCCGTTGTCGTGGACGAAAAAGGTTCCCCACGACGTTCTTTTTTTCGGGATTCTCTGCCATTTGTTCTACTTCACTGTCACCGTTTCGGTGTTTCACCGTTTCACTGCCTCGGTGGTAGTGTCCATTCCATGGAAATCATCGTCGTCATCGTTGCCACCCGTTATCTACTTTGAATAGTTGACATGTTCCCAACGAGGTTTTGGGGATTCTCTAACATTTCTCGTGCTTCACTGTCACTGTTACAGAGCCTTCCCGTTACACTGCCTCAGTGTTAGTGTTCATTCCATAGAAATCATCAACATCATCATCATCATTATCATTTTCACCCATTATCTACTTTGAGGAATTGACATTTGATTGTGAAGGGAGGGAAGCAAAATATTCAGTATTTCAAAGTGTTTTTTGCTGTGTCCACCCATTAGCTGCGTCTGCGTCTTCACCTCCTTGACGATGGTACTCGGACCAAGTCCACTGTGTTGAGTTTATCATTTCTCATTTCTCACTGATTCACTATTTCACTGAGAGAGTTAATATTCTTTCCAAAATATACGTCATATCATCATCATCATTATCATCATCACCAGGAACAATGGAACTCTAATATTTCAAGTCGAGTGGGAAAATAAAGAGCTTGCCGACATTTATTTCACTGTGTCCACCTCTATATTGTGTCTTGGTCCCCGCTCGGTTGCAGTACTTCTTGGCAGTTCAAGATGTAATTTGTCATAGATAATGTTGTACTAGTGGTGTTAATGTTTGAAGGTTCTCTCACTTGTCCTCACTTTAACTGTGTCACCGTTATCAATCATTCCAATATTATATCGTCATCGTCGTCTCCGACTGCCGACACCGTCACCGCCTCGTTAAGTTGAAGTTATCTTCATTTTTGAATTGGAAAAGAAAACTACTTTGACATAACTAGATTCTAATTACCGAATATTGGTTGCGAAAGGAAGTAAAGTGGAGTTAATATACATTCATTACTGTAACCATCCATCCATAAGTTTTAAATCACGGAAAAAATATCAGACCTACGAAACCGCTTTTTGTCTTTATATTTTAACGGCTAAGGTAACTTAGTATACATCAGGGTACCCGTGTTTAATTCCCGATAAAGGTGACTAACGCTGCAAACAATTTAAGAAATAAATATTCGCAATATCAAGGTTTTACAATTATTTAAATTCCAATTATCAAAGTTTCGTCTCTTTTAAACTCTTGCTGTGATAAGCGTGCCGATGTAAAATATATTTAATAACTACACATTTCGCAAGACACATTTTCGTGCAAAATGGTGAATTGTTCAATTATGAATCTCCTTTTGAACATGTAAACACATTTCTAAAATTTGATTTCAAAGAAATACGTGTTACATTTGTTAATACTTTGCCTCGATGAGTCGTCTAACGTTCGAGAAGCTATCAATACTTGTCCGAACGTGAAGACTAAGTTATGAGCATTTTTATTAACCACCATTTGCACGTGTTTAGAACAACCGGTTGTATGAACAACAAGTATTTATTTTCTCGTATTGCTATCGACCCATGCCTTTAATCATGCCCACGCGAAAACTAAATAAACTCGTGAATTACACAAAATCATAATTAATCCAAACAAAATTCTCTTTACATTTCATTTACCGCATTCATATTTTAATTAGTAACATTTTTTTTAGTTTTCAATATAATTTGTCGGTCAAAGGGACAAGCACCATTCTCCCTCTTTATTTCTCACGACTATTCAACACAAACGAAAGCCATTCTTGACAGAACTTTAATATTTAATCAAATTTATTTAATATGAAAGAAATATTTTAAATGTATCGATGAGCAAAGTAAAATAGATGTTTTTTTAATATTTTGTAAGTGAATAGTAGATTATTTAGATAAGTTTAGAATGCTATCCCTCTCATATCAGTGTAAAATTTGAATTATTAAAATATAGAACACATCTCACATTGTCCTTAATATGTTGTACAGAAACGTTCACTGTAAATATGTCAATATTTCGTGCCGTTCTCCACAAAAACGTCGGGATTTTATGACCATCAACTTATAGTTTCCATAATTAATACACTGGTTACAAATACCCAAAACTACTTTTTCGGCTTTTTCATTCTACACACTCGCGAAACCAAACATCTACTCATATTCCGCGAATTCCAACATTGAGAATTCAAAACAATCTTCTCCAATAAGTGAATGTCAATTTCCCTGTGCCACGGCTTGCCATCGCGTGCGCACATCTGCATCCTCTCGTGTGTCCTCAGCTTTCACGATTCTTCCAGTTCTAAGTCCTCCGGAGAGCTCACGCACTCGACTTCCCGGCGCGCGGGAAGAGACAAGAGAAAAGAAAGCGTCGGTAAACATACGAGGCGCCGGCTCACGCAGATTTCGCCTCTTCCATGTCTCCACTCCGGTGATATGGTGTCGTTGACCGGGAGATGTAGATTCGAGGCCCGACGGTGGCAGTGTTTTCGACACTAGCTACATAGCTAGGTCGCATTCTGTCGTTGTATAGAGGAGAATTCTATTGGCCGGTTGTTTTAATCGGTAGTTTTCCGCGTTTTCTCCTATCAATACCAGGCGAAGCGGCGTGGCCATAACAAACGGGCCACGTATCGCTCGCGGTCATTCCTCCCCTTCTTCGTTCTATCCTTAACCCTTACACACACTTACATGTTCTACACTTCCACACATGTCGGGAGACCAGTCAGCAGCTTAGAGCTTGTTCAGGTTGGGACGGTGCCTCGCTGATGAGAGACACCTGGTTGGGGAAAACCCCCTAGCCGACGGTAGGTCTGCTCGGATCTCTCCTTCCAGTGGAGAAATATTACCGCAATCTCCCACGATTAAACCTGCACTAAACGTACGGGGCTAAAGACGTTGCTATTTAACGCGCCCGGAATCACTAATCAACTAACTAAATCCATTGATATGTATATTACTGGTTAAAAGATCGTGTTCCATATATGGGCACCAACCATTAGTAGGATTCTGAGCAAAACAAATTCGAGGTTTTTAAATTTTAGAATATATTTATGTTTGTTTGATTTCTAAAATTGTTTCCTGCGTTATTTTTGGAGAACAAAGTAATCAGGATGTGCAATCGTTTTATTTTGGTAAGGAGAGAATGTGGCAAATGTATTTACAGGTATATTTAATACATTAATACGTTTCAAAAAATATTAACAAAAAATATCTAATATTTATAATTGATTAACAAAAGAATTTTACTAATAATGTAATTTACTGAAATTCTATATCACTTATAAAATTTCTTGTGGGTTTATTTTAATCTCTTTAGACGTTAAATAAATAGAAACAAACTACGAAGATGTTTATAGAATATTTTCAACGACATGAAATTATGTAGTTCCAAATCTCTTTACTAATTTTGTATCATTACAAGCAGTAAATTTAAAAACTGCTACTTCCAATTTCCTGCTATAATTGCCCCCAAATCATGACTTAATTAACGGCCTCCTTCACTAGGACACATTTGAGCGGCCTTCTCGAATTCTATTGCCCGAATCAGTACTGTGTAAAGACTCCATTCATGCGACCACCTGCGCGTCTGTGTGGCAAACCCTGATGGCTGCCGTTTACGGTTGAATAGCTAAGTAAACATACCGCTTCATTGAAAACACATAAACATGACAGCGAAATATGAAGATGATGAACTAGTTCAGCCTGCCCCGGTGATGGAAGGCCATGGAGCCCCACCAATGTACGTGACTGCAGAGTTGAGGCATGAGCGTTTTCTTCTTGTCCTGGCATGGTTGAATTATCAAACCACTATGTATTTTACATAAACATCATAAATCACTTTTCACGTTCAGTTCTACAGTTATTCACTCAGTTAAGTTGATTTGATTGATTGATTATCCGAACACGTCGTCTGCTATGGTTCTGTTAGTTTAGTGAAAGTTTTTCATCGTGGGAGATGGCGGTGATTCCTTCCTCGCCGGATGGGAATTCCACCACACCTTGGTACATGCTCTAGGCTACGACTGGTCTCCCGAGTTTGTGGAAGTGTTGTGAATATACTACGTGTACGTATGTGTGTATAGGGAGCGATAATAGAACGATGAAGAAAAAGGAAAGATCCCACGCGTTCCCATTAGCTTAACAATTGCGCTAAAAATGTCCACTTTAGATTTCACCACCGGTTTTGGTGGTGTAACGGTAAGAATAACGGAAGTTAAATTCGCTGGTCCAAATCCGTTCTAAACCGTGGCTTTTTAGGGACGAAAAAATCCTTCGTACGCCGAGGAAATGTACAGCGGGGTGTCCCATGACATAGATTTACTGCATGTAAAATGTCCTCAAGCCTAAAAGAAGCCTCTGAGCTCTAATTTCCTCTTTCGCCACCGTCCTTGTTTCATTTCTACATGGCAAAAGAGGCGTAGAAATATCCGCATGGTCAGACGGCTGGCATGTTAGACTGAACTTCAGCACGTGAAATAATAATTGAATGAATTGAAATTGAACTCCTACCAGGTCCCTACTACAGTAGCCGGGTTGAATGTAGTGCCGGTTGGCCAGCCGCTGCAAGCCAAACGCCTCTTTCTGTCGGAACGCCAGCGGGATGTCTCTTCCCGAGGGCATGCCGCAGCCAGGAAAAGCTCTGAGCTCCGACGGATCTCTTCATAGATGGGTTAGTGTAGTGGGGGAAAGTGTAAATGTGTGTGGTTGGGGAAGAGGGAATAAGGAAGAGAAAGGAAAGATCGCGGTTCGTACCCCGTTTTTTAGAGACGTGCATTTGCATTCGCTGCTAGATATGTCGAAGAA